GTACATTGTTATTATCACTCTTCCAACTAAAATTTGGGTGATTTCTCCAACTAGGGTTGTATGTTTACGATTATGGGTTGTGGTATGCCCTTTGGAAACTGTTTAAAGCATGGGATTATTCATGAAGACATTCCTTAAAAGAAGGCAAAGTTGGACAATTATTGGTTGAGTGTCATTTGTTTCACATATTTGACACATAATATTTTCAACAGATTTTAATTAACCACTCTTTTTCAATTCTAGTGCCTTGACTTTTCTAGCTAAAGATGCAAACTTGGCTTGAAGGTTATGATCTTCCTTAAGGTTGTACATACCTCCACTAGATGTATAAGGTTGAGTTTTACTCGATGCCTCATAAGTACCCGCGGTGTCCTAATTTTGAGCATTTTCAACTAACAAGTCTAAGTACTCCATTGCTTCATCAGGGTCTTTATCTTCAAGAGTTCCATTGCACATCAATTCAACCATTTATCTATCTCTAGGTGTTAACCCTTCATAAAAATATGAAACCAATCTCCATGTTTCAAAACCATATTGAGGGCAAGTATTAAACAAGTCTCGATACCTATCCCAACTTTGGTAAAATGTTTCTCCTGGTTTTTGAGTGAAAGTGATGATTTGTCTTTTGAAAGAATTTGTTCAGTGAGATGAGAAAAACTTCTTTAAAAACTGTTGTTGTATTTCATCCCAAGCACGAATGGATCCTGATCTTAAATTTTGTAGCCATGTTATAACTTTATCTTTTAATGAAAAAGAAAAAAGCTTTAATCTGATGGTGTTCATGCTATAATTTGAATCATTATATGTGTTGCAGACCTCCTTAAATACAAGTATGGATTTTCTAATTCTAAGCTATGAAAAGATGGTAAAAGTTGAATAATGTCTGGCTTAAAATTAAAATAAGATGCATCAGGAGGAAAAACTATGCATAATGGGGCACTTGTTCTTGTGGGATTCATGTGGTCTCTAAGTGTTCTATCACAATTATTCTCATTATTCTCATTATAAAGTGATTGATTATCTTCTTTGGCCATATTTTCTAAAAATGATGGGGATACCCTATAAAGTCTACTACTTGATGTACGTGACCACACTCTCATACACGTGTAGGAATAGAATAAAAGAAAGAAGAAAATAATAGAAGAAGAAACAAGAGACAAGAAACAAAGTTATATACAAGAAAAGTGAAAAGAGAAAATAAAATAAAAACTATAATTTGTACAAGAACTTACCTCCCTAACAACGGTGCCAAAAACTTGACAAGACGAAAAGATTAATGATCTTGATCTAGAAACCAAGATGCCTAAATGCATAGCAAATGCCTCCTTTTATAGGCCAAAATTGGAAACTATTGATTTGATGACTAATTGATGAGTGGGTGACCAACTCTTGACTTGGTGACAATCCTTATCTTCTCTTGTCTACCCAAAACGTCATTGATAACGTCAACATTGGAACCACTTGAAAACATGAAAGTTGTAGGAAATTGTCTCAGCTTTCGTATGTAAAAAATTCAGATTATTTGGACTTTTAAAATGCCATATATGGCCAAATATTAAACAGTGCTCGGGCTGGAGGACAGATTCGGAATTCTTTGTTGTTGCTCCAATTTAGACTTGACAATAGCCTTTTTAGATCTTGGGCTCTTATGAAAGTTGTAGGCCTATGTCTTACCTTTCCATCCATATAAAGTAGACCTAAATCTGAGATCTACAGCTCCAGATATGACCCAATTACCAAATAGTGTTTTGGTTTGGACTGTAGCGGCATCTCTTTTCTAAGTTTGGCCATCTTTTTGTCCTTTCAATTTCAGTTCTTAAATTCATCAATCAATCCTTTCATTTATATGATAGGCCTGCATTTAAAATGAACATTTACCACAAATTAAAGGTATCTTATATTATTAGATACTTTATTATAAAACATGTTTTAGTTAAGGAGTTATTGATACTTCAAGTGCAAAATGATGATATAAAACCTTGATAAAAATGTATTTTTAAGTACCAATCAGTAACTAACATAAACTATTTTTGAGTTCTTCCCCTAAATTTGCCTTCTTTTCCTTCAAAAAATAAAAATAATAATAACACAAAGAATGGAAACTTAGAAAAAAAAAAACAGGTTGAGAAGGGTTTCAAATATCTAAAAGAATTAAGCTAGAGTTTCTGATGAAATTAGAAGGCTAATATACCCATTATACCCAAGATTAAAAAGATAACGCTGATTAAAGGTCAAATTATATGATTATTAGATGAATCTGCATAAAAATTTAAGTTCATAAACTTAATTAGATTTTTAAGAGACTAATTTCATTTAATCATAGGCCAAGTTAAAAGTTTAATTATGTTTGAGTATTAATTTGGGTCAAATTAAAAGATTTAATTAGGTACAATGACTTAATTATACTTTTAATAGGTTAAATTAATTCTATTAAGGACTTAATTGGTGAAACATTGAGGATGAGAATCCAATTTAGGCTTAATCGAGAAAAATAGAGTTTTAGAGGATCAAATTTAATTTTTACAAAGTCAATTGATTGAAATCATGGATAAAATTGTAAGAAAATCAAAGTTTAAGGTCAATTAAGGGTTAAATTGAAGAAATTCACAACCAAAGACCTTTTTCAAAAGGACACCAAACTTCGAGAACTCAATTTGGTTGAAAACAATGGTAAAATTAAAGAAATTTGAAAGTTAAATAGTCAATTGAGGATCAATTTGCATAAATCCAAAACTAAGGACCAAAATGAAAAGTCATTGAACTTCAAGGTTTATATTTGAGTTTTGCTAGGGTAAAATCACATGAAATAAAAGTTTAAATTCAATTAGGAATGCAATTACGAGAATCAAAAGGAAAAGGACTAAATTAAACTTTAGTCAAATTCCTAAATCAAACCTTAAATATGTCAAAATAGTGTCATTTTATTTAAAAGAAATGGTTTCTTTCGACAAAAATGATTTGTTTTGGTATGAAATGATGTCGTTTTGACCGATAAAGAAAAAAAAAAGCCAAACAACTTGTCAATTGGCCATTATTTATCATCTTCAACCTTTTGTACCCGGAAGGCTACTCAGGTGTCTCGTTTTTAAAGGCATTTAACGTCTCATTTCTCCACCAAACATGAAAATCAAGACACCACTCTAATAGCATGACACCATACTACACCCTAGTGTAATTCATGTAGACTAGTTGCTTTGTAATTATTGCGGTGTTGCCCTAAAGATGCTGACCTAGTCAGCCTTTTGCAGCCTTATTTCATAGCTTATGATCATGAATCTAGACCAACAATTGAGATCTTTCATATTTAAATCAAGGGTTGAGATTTGTTCTTAATAAAGACAAGACATCCCTCTTTCATTCCCTATAAAAAGTGGTGAATTTCAGGTATTAAGGAAGAAGAAATATGAAGAGAAAATAGGCCAAAAAAACCAGCCTTTTAAGTGCCCAACCAACCACCCTTCCTTTTTTCCCTCACCATCGTAGCCTTAACTAGCTCGTTTACTGTGTACTTCCTCCTTCTACACCAACAACAATCACATCAGTAGATCTAGTGATGCAACTTCTTCTTCTTCAAATCAGCAATAGAAGCACCAACAACCTCACTAATGCCAACTTCTTCTCTTTTTCTTAGTCACACCAGCATCTACCATCCTCATACCAGACCTCCCAAAAACAGTAGTCAAACTAGCCAAGTAACCTTCTTCTCTCTACCTTTTTTTCTTGTAAATCTTTTTCTACTATTATCATCTACATGCAAAACGTGAGCAGAAGATGGTGTATGGAAAAGGAAAGATGAATAATAGCAACTCCTTTAATTCTAGGAGGCAGCTCCACTAGGCAACCTCGTGCATGTCATGAGAAGAGGTTTGCAAGGTCTATGGTTGTGCATGGAGAGATTTATTTTGGTTAAGTGGGTTGTTATGCAGTGTTAGGTCTTTGGGTTTCTTGGCGAGGAAGGTTAACAGGAGTGGTGGTTGTTGCTACCGATGTGGTGGCTATGTTGAGAGAGAAGATAGTGTATGGAGAAGGAAAGATGAATAATGGCGGCTAAGGTTTGATAATAGATGAGGAAGAAGGTGAAGACGAGGAGAGATTTTGGCTGTTTTTTCTTCTTCTTTCTTCTTCATTTTTTTTTATTTCTTTTTAGTCCTTTTTTTTAATCTATTTGCTTGTATAGTTTTAGTCTTTTTGTCAGTGTGTGTATGGTTTTTTTTATCCTAATCTAATTTATTTATATTGTTTATATAGATTTCTCTTAAAATATGAAAAATCTAAATTGAAAAAATAATATTAGATCTTTATATTATTTCCTTCTTGAACTAGGATCTCTTTATAATTTTTTAATTTTGCTTGATTCTCCTATTTATTTTGTTCTTCCAACACTTTGGTCCCTTTTTCTTTTTACCTATGGTTTTGCTTTATTATTATTATTATTATTATTATTATTATTATCACACAATAAAATAAATAAACTAAAGTGCCAAAAATTATGAAATGATGGAAATCAATTGAATTTCATTGAAAATATTATTATTTTGTTTTTGGAAATTTTATATTTTTTAAAACACATTGAGAAATGGAAGTTTAAGAAAGGGTTTTGAAACATGTTTGGATTTGATTTGATTTAATTCTTATTTTGTTTTTAATTTTTAGCATCATATGAATGGATTAAGAGTGTGTTCATGAATTATATTTCTACTCATTTAATTGTACGAGAATCGTGATGAAATGGGTTCTTGAACAAATACAATGTTGTGTAGAGAAGCTGCAAGCCAAATAGGGAAACACGATGGATGTGTGTATTGGAAATGATCTTGAACAATGCAACGCAAGGCATGAGAAATGCGAGGAGCAGGAGCTGCTCACCATTAATAGCTAATGCAGCACCTCCTCCCTTTCAGGGCGCAATATCAGATTCATGCATTCATTTTCATAAAGACATTCACCTAGCATTGGCTTGTTGTGGTTCGTACCTTATGCTGACCGCAAAACGAAATTACACACTCAGTATCAGTTTTGAAGCTTTTAGCTCTCATTAATTTGAAACACATACAGGTATCATGCGGGCAGGCGCATGGAATTTCCAGATTATACACACCAAAGAAAATCTCGAGTGAATACAAAGGCTAATTATCCTAACTACACAATCCAAAGGAACCGGGCTCTTGACGAGGGCTAAACAATTTCTTTACATAGATTCCATGGCATTTGACAGGAGTTCTCCTTTTGAGTTGAGGATTAGGGATCGCCAAACCATTTACGGTTTCAGTTTGTTGAAAGCAGCATTAATTCTCTCCTCTGTAATCAATCTATGGCTTTCATAAAAAAATAACATCTCCATTGAAATATTTTTCACCTGCCAAATCAGACACAAGGGCACATTATTTACAGCAATATAGCTCCAACATAAATTCGGTGGACTTTGCAGCAGTTTGTTATCCTCCCCTTGCGAGTTTCATAATAATTGAAGCTTAGAACTCACCACATTCATATCTACACTGAGCTCTTCAAACCATGCTGTCGAATCTTTTTCTCTATACACGCTAGCAATGTACATGCAGGCTAAAGCAATAATATGTGGGGGATGTACAAGAATCAAATCCATCTTGTACGTGTCGTTGACAAGTCCCCTGTATATGTTCCAGCATTTTTATTCATTTTGAATCAAAGATCAAGAAATCACGATGCAGACAATAATTTTTTATAATGTGAGTCCAAGTGTTGGTGTATTGGAAGGATACGTCCACAAGGGCACGAAAGGTATAGAGGAAAAAAAGGCTTTAAAAAATTAACATAACAGAGTTACTCGTAGATTTAAGACAGCAGCTTCGAGATAGAGAAGAAAAAAGAGACTGCGCAGGGTTTTAATGAAAAAAGGGAAAGAATGTTTCCAGAACTTCTTCACAACTTAAGAGCAGTTATCCTAAGTCTTTGTTTCCTGTTAAAAATCCCCGGGGGTGCTTGTTTTGGCCATTCAGGCCCAGTATTAGAACAAAAATCCCCGTGTTCATCAAGAAAACTGTACTATGGGATGGCTTTCTTCAACACCAGGGCTTCTCACATTTAACTTATCAGTCGTTTCCAAAGGACAGCAATTGCAACTATCAGTTACAATTAGAATCTGTGGCCACAGAGAGGAAGCAGCCTCTATGAACCAATTTTAAATACGAGGACATGTGTATAGTGAACATAATGATGGCCCCCATAATTAGAACATTATATAAATAGTGACAAACTAGTTCTACACACTTGTTATAAACAAAATGTCAATCATCTTTAGGCAACTCTCCCAAAAATGATTGCAGTTTGCATGCCGAAGCTTAAAACATGATAACATGATTGTAGTTTGCATGCCAAGCTTATTAAGACCTGCCGCATATTTTAAGGACTCAAATGAAAAGAGTGCATCTTTCCCAAGCTAGGAGATGTGTTTTTACTTGGAGGGTGTTAGAGATTGTGATGCCGTGTGCTTTTTAAAATAACTTATTGTTTGAAAATATATCAAAATGAGTTTTTTTATATTTTATTTTTATTTTTGAAACCAACTCATCAAAACCACTAGAAAGCACTAAAAAACATCAATTTAATGATTTTTCAAAGCCCAAAGCACTCAAAAAAAAAAAAAACACTAAAAAGCAGAATTAGAAACGTATCAAACACCCCCTCAGTCTTAGAGATTGGAGTCTTACCATGTCAATTGAGTCAAGTTTATATCATTTATGCCAGCATCCTGCAAAAATCTGCCAAGATTTGAAGAAACATAAGAGAGAAAATGTTCTTGTGCTCAATTTGCAACATAAATATCACAAGACAACAGTATACAACCAGTAAAACAGAAGATATTTAGTGTATTAATGAATGTAAAGCCATGCAATTAGGTTTCCTAGTTAGTAACATAAGAGATGACTGATCACATCCAATTCAGCATCCAATCATATTAGAATTGTTGAAACTTAGCAGTACTGTGATTAATCTTGACTTATGCAATCAATCATTTTTAGGCATGTTTCTGTTGTTAGTACATCTTAGATGATTAGTCACGTCCATTTCAGCAATCAATCATTTTTAGGTATGCTTCCAGTTCTAGTAGTCTACTTAACATAAACATGCCTCCATCTCAGAGTTTTGGAACAGATTGAAGTAATTTAACATTTCTTTTAAATTTGTTTATACAAGAAACAGAAAGAAAATGGAAACCAATGAATAGTAATCTAGTATGATCTAATTATATAAGATATAACTAATAAATAGTAATCTAAAGTCACATAATTAACTGAGAGATTCATAATATGTTAATAATAAAACAAATGAGAGAATACAAAGAAGAAAAATTGAAAAGCTTTGAGTTGGAGCTTGATAGCACAATAGACATCAATCAAGATGGCATTTGCACAACAAGAATCAGAAATCACGTTTCAATCCTGAACTTGATGACAACGTTCAGTCTTTCAGAATTGCACATGTAGTAGGAAAAACTTACCAAAGCAGCCTGTTAGTTCAATTTAAAATGGCTATAATGTACAATAAACATGGCAAAGAAGTTATACTTACTGAGGCAATGAACGATAAGGATGAAATACAACTAGATAAAAGTTAAGAGCTTCCAAAATCTTCATTTCCATCTCAAGTATCTCTTTGATCTCATATCTATACTTGTCATCAGAATCTGTGAGGCAACAAGGTCAAATTATAATAGTTTTAGCACTAAATATAACTACAATTTAAGAACTCGATGAATCAATCAATCAAGTTGCTAACAAGTGATTACATAATTTTTTTATGTAAAATGAAAGAACTCTGGCTTGAACTGTGCTCTCTTCTGCTTTTGATGCCAAATACAAGCAAGTTGGGGCTGCAAGACGTGGATCGTATTCTGACATGCTCTTTCTGGAAGCACAAAGAGAAATTAAGACTAGTGAGCTATACCATTTGGTCTAAAATCTACTGGCTGTTTCGTAGGCAATGCATCAGCTTTACTATTACACCTACAAATAAAAGGGCTGCTGATTTAAAGGGACCTAATGAAGAAAAAAGAGTATATGATTAGAGAACTGAAGTGGGTGATAAAAAAACAGCAGGAAGAAGGCCTACGAGGCATTGCAGCCCAGGAGATTGTATCAGTGACAGAAGCTGGTACGACAACCGAATATACATTTTGAGATAAAAAAAAACCCTGAAACATTGAGTAATAATTTTATGATTATCAATCTGTATGCATCGCTAACCAAGTGCTCATGAATGCATATGATTGAAATTTGAAGAGTTTTTTAGATTACTAGAAATGACAATTCGGCATTCAGATCTCGAAAGGGAGGTTAAAGTAAAGATTCTGGATGGTGGCCATACTCTTTTTCTTACCATCAGAAATTATATAATACCTGGTATATACACGCCTCATATATGCAACTGCAGTAGCGACAACCCTGAAACATCGAATAATAATTTTAAAAAACATTCAATTGGTGACACCTTATAAAAGGAAACCAAAGAAACCGAAAAGATCCCATGAGCACTTCGTTATAAAAAAATCAATTGGTGACAAAATGGAAATGCTAAATCATTTATTGTTTTTTTTATACAATCTAAGTTATAAAAAAATCAATTGGTATATGATAAATGACCAGAACATCCCACTCTGAATTCCAAATATGGGATACTAGACAAGGCAAGAAGAACAACATGAAAACTTTAGAAGAAAAAAGGTCGAACCTTTGCCTCACTTTAACTTGTTGAGCCAAAATGCCTATATCTGAGGGTGGGAAATACAGAAAAAATAAATAATTGATATGTATATGCGAATTTCAAGAAAAGTAGTTGTAAGGATTGGATTTGTTAAGGATAAACAGAAAACGCAAATTTCATGGGAGAAAAAACTTGACAGCAATAAATTAATTTCAAGAGTCCAAGTTTATCAGACACAAGAAATTCAAATGCAAAACTGCTTTCTAGTAGAAATTAGACAATAACAGATACAAGCATCACCACCACATATACAAACAATAAGAACCCATACGGTAGAATTTCATTTGCAATCTGATAACCCAGAAAAACCACGCAGATTTCCGAGGTGAAAGCTAGCAAAATAAGAAACTCAATAGCATCTCCCCACCAAATAAACAAATAAATAAAATAAAAGCGTACAGATTGTCATCTGCGTCTTAATGATCTTGAAATCTTCAAGAGTTATGCCCTTTTCTTTGTCTAGTGGGTGCACCACATCCACTTCTTCTTGGTCAAAAAGCTGCTTGCTGCACATAATCCAAGAACACATTATATGAACAAACACCAGAGAAATGCCTCAAAAGATACATAAAAAAGGATTGGCCCGTTAATGGCTTACTAGTGAGAGGAGGTCCAGAAATTGGCAGCCATTTTTAAGTGGGAGTCTGGTGGTGTGGTGTTTAGTCTATGGTTGATGACTTATTTGCTTTCCATCGGAGAAACCTCTGTTGAGTCCCAAACCATATATATATATATATATATATATATATATATATATATATATCCTCAATTACATCCCAAATCTAAATTCTACCAATTAAGTCCCAAATACTTCCTTTATTTCTCAAGCGTGTCATTTTCTCGACAAAAAAAAAAAAATTGTAATTCAAGTCTAATTTGCGTATTTTATACACTTATATAGTGCTAATATATAAAAAAAAATAGTTCATGAGAATTAATATTTTCAGTCTAATAGGTATATTTATACATTAAAATTAATGAACATTAACAAAAAGACTTTTTTTTTTTGAAATATTGTAAATTTAATTGAGAACTTTACAGGTTTGTAGGCTCAACTATATATATTTACATATTAAAATTAAATTAAAAAATAAAGCTCTTAAACACCATTCACTATTATAAAAGTATTTTGTAATCTTTTAGTATTTTAATTTTTTTTAATTTCTTTATTTATCTTTATATCGATTAGAAATTTTTTTATAATTTATTTTAATTTTTTCTATAAAATTATCACGGTCTTAACCTAAAAAAATCAATGAATTTTTATTTATCACTCCATAAAATATTATTTACTATAATTGTGTTTTGTATTTTTATGATCCTTTAATTTCTTTTTCAACATTGATTTTTTTTTATTTTATCTTTTAATATTATGATAATTAAAAATTAAATTTTATAATTTATTTTATTTTTTTTCATATTACTATTTAGAAAAAAAGCGTTAATATTATGTTGATGCTCAATTTTATAAAAACAAATTAACTTTTATTGTTTGCTAAAGAGTAAAAATAAGGAGACCAATATTGAAAGCAAAGAAAAATAGCAACTTTTTTTCTGAAAGAATTATGGTATTAGCATTTTATTTTATTTTTGGGAAAAACTTTGCTTTAAGATTTTTTCAAATTTTTTTTAATTAAAAAATTATATTTTATAGTCCAACACTTCATTTTATCCATATTTTAGTTCTCAAGCCTGAGAGAAAAGATAAAGTCATTTAAAAATAGTGGAAGAGAGAGAAAAAGATGGGTTGGTCGGATTTACTTGAAAAACAATTACTAAATATCATGTTATAATGTTTTTAATACAATCCAAATTATATCAAATGATTCATTAGAACTTTTTAATGGGCCAATTCAGATAAAGAAGCTTAAAAACATATTAAACGGACTTATTCAAAGTATTTAGGTCAATGTAAATTTTAAAAAGGCTACATCTTCAACAAATAATTATTACACCTTAGTCAATTTAATCTATATACAAAAAGGGCACGGTCCATCTACTCTATGGGCTTAATTAATCTCGACAACTATAGGCTTATCAGTTTCTATATGTTTTATAGATTCCTTATTATGTATGGTGTCGCACATGTACAGCATCGCAATGATCATCTTTCTAAATCAAGATTTTCAGATGGTGTGAAAAGAATACTGAATTCTTTCTTTTTATGGTTTAAAAGGTTTTGAGTCTCCACCTACTATTTTGGTCACTAGGGACCACAACTAGTATTTAAAGTTTGGATAAAAAATTGATTATGTATAAGAATGATAATATCACCCCTAATATATCTTATCTAAAATAAGCTACATTATTTATTTGTTTGATTATTACTAAGACATTGTTATGTTTTTTCTAATCATTGATTTGTCTATTGGTGAAACCAAGTCAACCCTAGTAGAGTGAACTATGACTTCACGAGTTAATCATAGCCTTTCCAAAGCTAAAAACATTTTTTTTCTTGTAATATCATATATATATTTTACGCATAAGTTTATAATCTTTGATATTAAAAATAAGCAAATTGATTTTTTTTGTGTTTCTAAAATTTAGACCAGCTCCTTATGGCTTTAATAAACTTATTATTAAACTTATGATACATGTAAAATATAAAAACTATTTTTTGGTATTTTTAAGAAATGTTAATTCATGCAATGTATTTTTTCTCTCTTTCTTTGTTCCTTTTTTATATCAATTTTTTGTTAGAAATGCATACAAGATAAGAAACTTTTCATATACAAAGGTTTACAAAAGCATTTGATGAAACCCTAATTAATCTTATTGTATTTTGGAAATATCATGATTTTTTGCAACTAAATAGAAAATGAAGCCCAGTATTAATCAATACGATTAATGAGATATAAATATATAAATTAAATATTAATATGATCAAAAGATTGATGTTTTCTCCAAAGTGTAAGAGTATCGAAGTAATAAATAACCCGGCAAGATCGAGATAGAACCACATGGAGGTTAATTGCATAAATTATAATTAACAACAATACATCAACAATAACAACAACAACAATAACAATAATAATAGCAATAGTAATAATAATAATAATAGTAATAATAATAATAGTAGTAGTAGTAGTATTAGTAAAAGAAGAAGAAGTTGATGAGAACTTTGAGATGGAAGATCAATATAAGGATTAAACAATAATAATAACAAATGTCAAGGTTAGAGGATCCATTAATGGTATTTCAAACAAGCATAGTACAAACTTTTATTATTCAATTGGAAATCACACACAAAGTATCCATATTAAGTTTATACTATACTTATTCTTACACCATCAGTGTAACCTTTTCACCTTGACATAATAAACTTAGCTAAACATAATGAAAGAGAGAAATATAAATAAACAAGATAAGAACATAAATAAGATAAAAGTTAACTAAGTAAAGAAAATGAAATGAAATGCATAAACAAGATATTAATAAAAACAAAACTTAAGTATTACAAAAATACAAAGAGAGAAAGTAAGAGCACGATCTTGATATGGAAACCCAAAATGCCTAAATGTATGACAAATGCCTCCTTTTATAGGCCAAAATTTGAAACTATTGATTTGATAACTAATTGATAAGCGAGTGGTCACATCTTGACTTGGTGAGAAACCTTGTCTTCTTGGTTGAATAAAATGTTAGAATTTGAACCAAACCTCCACATGAAAGTTCTAAAAAATTATCTCAGTGACACGACTAAAAGATTGATGTCTTCTCCTAAATGCAGGAGTGTCGAAGTAATAAATAACCCGGTAAGACCGGGGTCGAACCACAGGGAGGTTAATTGTACAAATTATAAACAACAATTATAAAACAACAATAACAACAACAACAATAGTAATAATAATAATAATAATAATAATAATAATAAAGAAAGAGAAGAAGAAGAAGATGATGAGAACTTGGAGATGAAAAATTAATATAAGGATTAAACAAT